GAGAGAGAGAGAGAGAGAGAGATGCAACATGAGCAGGGGAGGGTCAGAGAGAGAGGGAGACACAGAATCTGAAACAGGCTCCAGGCTCTGAGCTGGCTGGTCAGCACAGAGCCCAGTGTGGGGCTTGGACCCACGAACCATGAGATCATGATCTGAGCTGAAGTCAGACACTTAACGGACTGAGCCCCTGTGACAGAGTTTAAACCAAGTACAGCCATGAAGGTAAAATCGTGGCCATGAGACCACATGTGTATAAGCAGGGACACTTCCAGGGATTTGCTTGCGTCCAGACCACTGATGCTCCCACTGCAGGAGAGGGGCTCACGGGACAGTGCTCCCTGGCACCAGGTTGCCCATGGTCCAGGCTCCTCTGAGGTCCAAGCTCCTTTTATTACTGGGGATGTTCTTCTGTCACCTCCTCCATGGAGCTATAGGGCTGAGGAGAGTTTATTCAGTTCTTCCCCTCAGGTGCATCAGTATCAATTTTCCCTGAGAAGATTCTCATCATGTAGTTTACACACCCTTCTTTTACCAGGGCTTCTTTATTTAGACTCCCCAAGAGCCTTTGACCTCTCTTCCCTTCCTTACTTTATTGACAATGCTGAATTAAGCCTTTTACAATGTATTCTCTTGGGAAATAGACCATAGGGCCTCAGGGTCCAAGTGTTTAACAAGGGCACAACTCTGGTGAGCAATGAAAAGAGAAGGGGCACAGTGGAGCCAGAGTTCATAAAACCAGCCTCCAGAGCTCATAGAAGGGCCGGTTTGGTGCTCTCTCCGGCAGCCGGAAACAGCAGCAGTGCAGCTTTCTGAAGCTGGTGAGTCTCAAGCTGGACCAAGCAGGACAACTGTGAGAAGGAGATCATGAGACGAGAGAGGAATCCAGGAGCCTAGTATGTAAAGGAAAAGGAACTCTTTCAACAGGGTCTGGTGTACATGCTGACCCTGCTAATCGCTTAGATCTGGTATAAGGCTGAGTGGCAGGGACTGACCTCATGCTGTTATTTCATTCAGGGATGAGGCTGAGTTATTTTGTGTCCATACAGGGTTTGCAAACTTCCGTAGACTCAAAGGCCCCCTCCCATACCATGGATGGGTGACCAAGCCCCCTTGTGCCTGGCCAGGTGAGAAACTTCCTTTCTGCCCTAGTCTAAATTCATCTATGAGTCAAGGTGATCACTCCATTTTCCAGTCTTGGCTTGAGTCTTCTGTTGTAATTTTTTTATTCAAGATTCGTGTGACCTTTACAGACTGTCAATATATCACTGTTAGAGACCATATTTGGTGAATAGCTCTTAGCACATGGATCAATCCCTTTGTAAATGTCAGTCCACCAGTCCTGGAACTGGATATTGAACATCATTGCCCCAGATGCCCAACAGGTCCTCATTGCTCAGATTAGGAGGCCTCAGTGTCACTGAGGAGAATACAGAAAGAGAGGAAAAATGGTCCTGGCTCTTAAGAAATTTACTGAAACAGAGCTGAAAGTATATTGCTACCTGGGAGAATATACCAGTGTTATAGGAGGTTTGAAAAGGACACTTCCTCCTTGTATTAGTGAAAGGTCCTTAGTGACATTCTGGACTCCAGTCTCTCTGCCTGCTTGTCCTTTCTTACACTCCTGTAGTTCTCCCCACACCTCAAATACATCCTTCTTTTCCACCTGCATGGCCTTCATTCAGATCTTCATCACTTTTCCTCTGTATTCTTTGGGACTCTCCGAAAGCCTCTCTCCCCCCATGTGATTCCCTGTGTCCAATCTACAGCACATCACTTCCCTGTCTCAAATTCTCTGTGCTTACTTAAGGTGTACATGATAATGCCTGCTCTCAGGTGGCCCTCACAGGGCTACCCCTGCACACCTTACCTTGTCTCCTGACCCTCTGCTCTCCTGCCTGCTTCCCCCAGAGAACTTAGGATCTATCACCACCTAGCACCTCATCACCCATCATACTGATCATCCACATAGCTGTTTCTACTCTTACCATTGCATACTCAGAGTCCTTCTTCTCCCCCAGGTGAATTTGCCTCATTTATGTATCTTTCTCTGATATTCTCAACTCATGTGTCTCTGGGCCTACCCGTACCTGAGGAGATCATAGCCCCCTTTTCTCCCCACAGCACTTGAAGTTAAAAATCATTTATCTGTTTCATAAATGAGGAATGTATGTGTCATAAAGTTTAATTTTTTTAATGTTTATTCTTGAGAGAGCGAGAAAGAGAGAGCGAGAAAGGGGGAGGGGCAGAGAGAGACACACACAGAATCTGTAGTTGGCTCCAGGCTCTGAGCTATCAGTACAGAGCCTGAGGCGGTACTCAAACTCATGAACTGTGAGATCATGACCTGAGCCAAAGTTGGGCGCTTAACTGACTAAGCCACCCAGGCACCCCTATCATAGAGTTTAAATATCTCACAGGATCATACAGTGAGTATAAGAGCCAGACTTGGGATTTACTTGTTGGAGGCCAACTTTTCAATCATACCGCTTTGCTTCATTCATCTGTGCTTTCATCTCTTCCCACTGTTTGTAAGATCAGCTTTATTAGAACCACAACTATACTGGGGCGCCTGGGTGGCTTAGTCGGTTAAGCGTCCGACTTTCGCTTGGGTCCTGATGTCGCCGTTCGTGGGTTCAAGCCCCGCATCGGGCTCTGTGCTGACTGCCAGCTCAGAGCCTGGAGCCTGTTTCAGAGTCTGTGTCTCCCTCTCTCTCTGATCCTCCCCCTGCTCATGCTGTGTCTCTCTCTCTCCTAGAAATAAAAAATAAAAAACAAAAACATTAAAAAAAAAAAAAAAAGAACCACAACTATACTGTCTTATAAGGGTTTGTAAATAAATTTTCCTCTATTAATTAAGATACCACTGTTTGCTTAATCCATAGTATACATTTGTATGCCTAACATTAAAACCAGATACAGGGAAGGGGCTGAGTATTTTCTTGCTTATTCAAGTAGATCAGGTCACTCTGAGAAAACAGAATTTGAGGTTTATGGATAGGAAAGCATTTTCTGAAAAGATAGCTATGTTTTCTATCCTTCTTAAATCTCTGATTCGCATTGAGGGTCATTTTCCTAATCACAGATGAAAATACAGGACAGAGCTGATATATAATTGTTCCTCTTCTAGGCTAAAGCCCCTGAATCCTTGGTTTGTTTTAAAGCCCTATAATCAGTAGAAAGTCTGTGTGTGTGTGTGTATTTTATAACCTACATTTTGAAAGTCTGGGATTTTGGAGTGAAAGAGGACCTTGGATCTTATCTTCTCTGGAAGCTGTTCTAGCACCTTCTTTCACACAATTTATTCTTTCTGAAGAGATTTGTCATATAGGACAGATGAGCAGGATCAATAATCCCACTCATACTGATTATTTGCTCCCTGGGCTCTCTCTTTTAGTCTGTCCTGACTCCCTGGCTCTCTTCTGCTTCTTTGGCTGTGACAGCCCTTGCTGCCACTCTTTTTAGTACTTGGTCACTCTGTTCTTTGTTTAGTAGTGAGGTAAATAAGATGGTACTCAGCAAAAGAAACAACTATATCAAAGTAGATGAGCGTACATATCATAGATTACATATAGATAGGATAATTGGATTTGGGCCATAAGGAATCACAGATAATGTTGCTTACCAGATAAATGGATCCTGTATAGGTTTATATACTTGAACTATGCTTATTAGTTAGCTCCTAATCTATGTTTGGTGAGCCTACTGGTGTATCCTCAGGACTGATTGTCTCTGTCACCAAAATATGAAATTCATAGGCTTTTCTTTTTTTAAAAAACTTTTTAACATTTATTTATTTTTGAGAGAGAGAGAGAGAGACAGAGCTTGAGAGGGGTAGGGGCAGAGAGAGATGGAGACACAGAATTCGAAGCAGGCTTCAGGCTCCAAGCTGTCGGCATAGAACCCAACATGGGACTCGAACTCATCAATGGTAAGATTATGATCTGATCCCCAATCAAATGCTTAACTGACTGAGCCACACAGGTGCCCCTGAAACTCATAGGGTTTTCTAAAGAATCCAAATCAAAGAAAGCTCTTGAACTTCACAAAGAGAAAACAAAGCAAATAACCCAGAAAGAGTGATAAAGACTATGCTTTTAAAAGTGAAATCCTGGGGCACCTAGGTGTCCCAGTCGGTTGAGTGTTGGACTCTTGGTTTCTGCTTAGGTCATGATCTCAGGATGTGTGGGTTTGAGCCCTGCATTGGGCTTAATGCTAGGGTGAAGCCTACTGAGGATTCTCCCTCCCCCTCCCTCTGCTCTTCCCCTGCTCCTTGGCACTCTCTCTCTCTCTCAAAATAAATACACTTTTTTTTAAAAAGTGAAATCCTGTTTGGTACTAGAAGATATTACTCTTCTTGGGTGGAATCAAGGGATGCCCCACCTCCAATTCAATGTTTTTTGAAAATGAAAATTAGAAACCCTGAAGTCAGGCCTTGTCCAAGCCTATGGAGTAGGGGGATGGGCTTTTGGAGGACCTCCATGTATTCTGCTGAGCAGAGCTCTCCAAAAGCTATTCCTTCTAAACTGAAAAAAGTCAGGGCTTGGTAAGTAATTGTGCCTGTTGAGGCTAAATATTGTATAGTGGCTGAAAGGAGAGACTTTAAAGTCAGACTCTTTTGTCATAGTCTTGGCTTCACTACTTACTTGCTGTATAATTTTTATTGAAGAAGTTTGCTTCTCTTTGCCTATTCCTTTTAATTATCTGGATAATTAGGATAACAATATTATTTACTCTTAAGTGTTTTTTAAAGGATGAAATGTGCTAATGAATAAAAACATTTGGCATAACGTGTAGCACATGATAACTGTTCAGTTAAATGCCAGCAAAATATTGATATGATGGTGGTGATGATGATGATGATCATGATTATCCAAAAACTTCATTGAGACAGGTTAAGAGACCCAATAGAAACTTGAATTTTACTACATATAGAACACATGTTTTCTATGTTAATGTATTTTGTCCTAAATTTTAAGGGACTCTGGATTTTTAGCCTGTACAGAGTACTTTACATGGCCCCATCCAGCAACTACTCCACTGGTCCAGTCTCTGAATTCCTCCTCATCTGCTTCCCTAACTACCAGAGTTGGCAGCACTGGCTGTCCCTGCCCCTCAGCCTCCTCTTCCTCCTGGCCATGGGGGCCAACGCCACCCTCCTGCTCACCATCTGTCTGGAGGTGTCTCTGCATGAACCCATGTACTACCTGCTCAGCCTGCTCTCCCTGCTGGACATTGTGCTCTGCCTGACTGTCATCCCCAAGGTCTTGGCCATCTTCTGGTTTGACCTCAAGTCCATCAGCTTCTCTGCCTGCTTCCTTCAGATGTTCATTATGAATTGCTTCCTTGCCATGGAGTCCTGCACATTCATGGTCATGGCCTATGACCGCTACGTGGCCATCTGCCACCCACTACGATACCCTTCCATAATCACTGACCATTTTGTGGTTAGAGCTACCATATTTGTTGTGGCCAGGAATGGCCTCTTTTTCCTTCCTGTTCCTGTCCTTTCTTCCCGGCTCAGATATTGTGCAGAGAACACCATCAAGAACTGCATCTGCACTAACCTGTCTGTGTCTAAACTCTCCTGTGATGACATCACCTTCAACCGGCTCTACCAGTTTGTGGCGGGCTGGACCCTACTGGGCTCTGACCTCATCCTTATTGTTCTCTCCTACTCCTTCATCCTGAAAGCTGTGCTAAGGATCAAGGCTGAGGGTGCTGCGGCCAAGGCCCTGAGCACATGCGGTTCCCACTTCATCCTCATCCTCTTCTTCAGCACAGTCCTGCTGGTTCTGGTCATCACTAACCTGGCCAGGAAGAGGATTCCCCCAGATGTCCCCATCCTGCTCAACATCCTGCACCACCTCATCCCCCCAGCTCTGAACCCAGTTGTTTATGGTGTGCGGACCAAGGAGATCAGGCAGGGAATCCAGAAGCTACTGAGGAGGTTGTAAGAAGTAAAAAGGATCATATCCACCTTTGGAATTGCTAATGAAAGTCAGCAGTTATTTTCATGTTGGAAAGGAAATTTAATTTTAAATCCTGGAATGAGTTCTGATTCTCTTTCTTCTTGGTGTATCAGACAACAATGAAAACTTTCTTCTGAGAATCCTTTTTCCTGTTGCTTCAGGGGAAATCTTCCTTGCCTGGATTCGGTGCTCACTTGGGAATTTTCCCTGACTGCTCCTTATCTGAGGGTCTTGCCAAGCCTTAGCCAAGTGAAGCTGGATTACAGTGGGAGTGTTTGGCAGTTAAAGAAACAAACTTTAAGGGTACCTGGCTGGTTCATTCGGCTAAGAATCTGACTTTGGTTCAGGTCATGATCTCATTGCTCGTGAGTCTGAGCCCCATATTGGGCTCTGTGCTGACAGCTCAGAACCTGGAGCCTGCTTTGGATTCTGTGTCTCCCTCTCTCTCTGCCCCTCCCCTGCTTGTGCTCTGTCTCTCTCTGTCTCTCAAAAATAAACATTAAAAATTTTTTTTAAAAAAGAAACAGGGGCGTTTGGGTGGCTCAGTCAGCTAAGCATCCAACTTCTGCCCAGGTCATGTTCTTATGTCTTGTGGGTTCGAGCCCCGCGTTGGGCTATGTGCTGACACTTAGCTCAGAGCCTGGAGCCTGCTTCAGATTCTGTGTCTCCCACTCTCTCTGACCTTCCCCTGCTCACGCTGTCTGTCTGTCTGTCTGTCTCTCTCTCAGAAATGAATAAAACATTACAAAATAAAAAATAAAAAGAAACTTTATGCTTAAGGAGATCTGCTTTTCCCTTGATTTGCAAAGAACATAGATGCCTCTCCTACCTCCTGTTTCAGACATGACTTTTGTGTTGTGAAGGGTCGATTGGGATGATGTATAACCATTAACCCCAGAACTTTGGTTCTGGGGGTTGAGTGCTTTATTTTGAACATTCCTGACTCTCTTTTTTTGGCACCTGTGGCAGATCTGTCATCTTCTGGCTCCTCAGATCCTTTCAGACTCTGTTAAAATTTTCCATTTGTGTGACTTCTCTGGGAGCATCTTGTCCTACCTTCCCTCTCTCCCTCCCTATTCCTCCTTCTGTCTCTCCCTCCCTTCCTTCCTTTCTTCCTCCTCCCTCCCTCCCTCTCTCCCCCTACTTCTTTCTTTCTTTCTTTCTTTCTTTCTTTCTTTCTTTCTTTCTTTCTTTCTTTCTTTCTCTCTCTCTCTCTTTCAAGATTCTTCAGACTTTTATTTGTAAAGGAGATAAAAATTTTTTAGGGCATTTTTTGGAGTGGCAGAGTTGTATTGTTTGAAATGTATGTTCTTTACCTCATTATCTTCATGACTCTGTAATCCTCACTTTATGCCATATACCTCCTATAAGGAACTTAGAACTTTCCATCACTTTTCAGGCACCATCCTTTCCCTACTCTGACCTGCTCATCTTAGGCACAGCTCAGCTATCCAGTTCATTCCCTCTATTTCTCTGTTTGCTTTAGCCTGAATTCTGAATAGTGGCTGGTATAACTGTCAACACTTTTTCCATAATGGCATGGAAGCTCTAGGGTTTGATTTTCACAGATAAGTGCATTCCATTATTTTCAGTCCCCTCCTTAATAATTCACATGTTAGTCCAGTGTTTCCAAGGAATATTTTATAGTAGCCAACATTTCATCTTGTGGATGAAAATTAAGTCCATGTTTTCCCCCAAGCATCATTTGGAGAATGTTCCTGTTGTGGACGAAATGACACAGAGGACAAGACACACACAAAAGACAGACACAGACACAACTCTGGCTGGAGGAACAATTCTATGCAAGCCCCTCTTGTGGCTTATTTTATACCCGGTAACTGGATACAAACTGAAATCTACAAGATGCATTCCTTTACCAATTAAGGGCAAGTTTCAAACATTTCAAGGACGGGGGGGAGCAAAGGGAGGAAGCGACCACAACATGTTTACTAAGAGGCCTGCCCACAATTCCAGGCTTCTCCTTACTTCTAAAAAGGGCATGTTCCCTCGTTTGCCAGCGGACCATTAAACTTGGATATTGTGTGCAGGCCTCCTGGCAGAGCATCCTGTTTGCAGGCATGCCTTGCCCAGGCAGGGAGCCCCATGTGCAGGCACGTCCCCGCGTCCCTAACCACGCTTTCTTGTGGTCACTGTTGGGCTCCCACAGTTCCAAATTGGACTATCCTACTTTCTTTTGTATTAAAACTTGTCTTTGATGAATGACTTATATTTAAATTTAATGTTCATATCCCATTTGTTGAAGGTATATATTTTGCAACAGTAACCCTTTTTTCTTCTCTTAGGTACCTCTGTGTTTTGGCTCTAACAGACTTTCAGACTTATCTCGAACTTTTTTTGTTTACCCTATTGTAGCCAAAGTGAACAGCTCACGTTTCCCCGAACATTTCCTCTTTGTGTTTGCTTTCCATCTTTAATCGTTTGACCCTTTCTACACCAACTTTCATTTACTAGTATTATCACTGCTGAACCCCATATTTCACTCGAAGCGAAAGTTGAACACTGCTCTGCACAGGAGGTCTTCCTTTCATGACTCAACTGGAATCACTACTGTAGCATCTTGAGTAGCTGTATGTCTTTCTTTGATGGTATCATGAGCTTCTTTTAGGTTGAGAGAGTATTTCATTCATCTTTTTAATTCTGCATGATTACTTTTATACTTCTTTATATAGGGGAATTTAGAATAAAGATATGGCTGAATAAGGTGAAACGTTTCATCAGTGCATGTCTTATCCCGCCCTCCCTTTGAAAACTACTTGGGAACAAGGATCAAATCTTATACTTATATGTATACTTATAGTATCTAACACAGAGACTGTTTTTAGCCAGCACTAAATGAAATTTATATAGTGAATCCCCCTAGGGTTGGAATAATCAGAGTAATTGGGATTTGATTCTCAGATAAACCAATTCAACTAAATTTGCTAGTTCAGGTTTTATGAACTTTGGCTAAACTTTTTTATTATTGGTGATAATAATCCTTATTTCTTATTATTGTTTTGAAGAGTAAATAAACTGTGAAAATTTTTGTTTAGTATTTTGAATGTGTGCACCTTAATTACATAGACATTAAATTAGTTATTATTATTATTATTTTTTCTAAGCACACTACTTCTCTTTGCTACCCTCTGAATCAGAGGCAGATCATTGTCTCACACCACATTTACCTTGGGGTAGAAGATATCCATGTCATTTTGTCCTTCAATGACCCTGCAGTCATTTTATTACTAGTATATTTTCTTGAGAAATCTTTTACCTATATGAGAGTCATCCTTGTGAAACCCCAGACTATTGGACACCCCATAAAACTGTCAGTTGAGTATATTCTATTCCTATCTGTTTGAGTCTGAGTATGCCATGATGTTACCTACAAGCATACCTTCTGGAACTGCAAAGGGCAGCCATGGGTGATATGTGGCTATGATACCATCCAGCGCTCACATCCTTTGAGGCTATCTGGCTTCCAGGGTCACCTGTCCCCCATCTGGACATACCAGTCATGAAACAGTCTGCTCTTACCACACCCGGAAAGCTGCTGTAGTCAATTATCTTACTGATTTGTGGTCACATAGTGTGTAGATGTGTGATTGCTTTGCAGCCTTTGCCCAGGGCAATAGAAAGGAATATCACTTAGTTTACCTGTAAAATAGATGAAGAAATAAAGAGAGAATACAATGCTATATCACATATCGTCTCCATGGACTCCTTAGTTTATTCTAATTTCCTTTTTTTAGGGTAGAAGATATCCTAAAATTTCTCTCAGAACCAACTGTGACTTGGCACTCCATCTGAGAAAAAGCTGCAAAGCTATTCTCTGCTTTAGAAGTGTTCTTGATTCTGGATAGAAAAGTGAGATGGTATCATTCTTTGGTGTCATCACCTTTTTTTGCCTTTCTCTTCTATATCATAATTTCATCTTTCTGTATGTATTATTCTGTCCTAATTTAGCTCTAACTGAGTGAGGACTTCTGGTTCTGGCACATGAATGATACATGAATCAGGCAGTAGCAAGAACCTCCCTGGGATGTTCCCTTCTGTTCAGGAAGAGGTGGAAAGGTTAGAACAATAAGGTACGGCAGGATTACCTTAATCCAGGTATTACTTAGGGCAATACTAACATGGCCAGGTGAGGTGAGGCTGATATCCAACCCCAAATTCCCTTTGGAAGACACAGAGACAAGGTCAAAGCAAAAGAGGTAGTGTTTTGCCCAAGTGTGTCTGTCCCATCATCTGAAACGTGATTGAAGCCCCATCCTTGGACTCCTTCCTTGTGAGGTGGGAAAGACAGAGGAATATGTCTCTGTGTTTTTCTAGTATAAGATATACCCTTCCCACTTAGAAAATCTGAGCTCAGAGAGGGTGTGCTCCAATTCCCTTCCTCCTATTTCTGGCACCTGGAAGCTTTCTGTGCCATTTCCCCTCACTATCACACATGCTCAGGTGAAGCCTTTACTCACCCACTGAGTGAGTTACATTTTCATGTTCTTATCATGCCCTATCATTAATAATAGCAAGTGTTTCAATTGTCCTCTTCTATTTCCAGTTAAGCCACTGCACTATGGATAATAAAAGAAATGATATGTCCATAACGTGCTATGCTGTATGGCCCATTTCTGTACACTGGCCATAATAAAATGGTCCCAGTTTAAGGATATTGTTAAATTCTCATTCAATCATAATTTTTCCGAGAGTACACTTAAGGTCTGAAATAAATTTCTCTGTTTTAAGTCTAGAAATATTTGTTTTTTGAACATATATGCTCTTCATTTAGAAGCACCCTCCTCCCAAAAGTTTTCTTCAACTCTCTCCTTGTTCACTGCTCCTCCCATGTTAGATTTTAGATTTTGTCTTCTGTTGTCTTCTTTGCTTTCTTCCCCTTGTATCCCCCTGAGAATATGCACCTTAGACTCTAGGTTCAGATGGCTTAAAATGGCCTTAGCCTCTGTGAGCTGTGGGGAGGGAAGAGA